CTAATGATAATATTCGAATAAGGAATGCAGAAGAAAAGCAAGAAAAAGAAGTGAGTAATAATTAAGCAAAGAGTAAACATAAAGAAGGAGGGGAAGAATGATAATAATGATAATAATAAGCATAAGAAAAAGTGGAAAAAAGAGGAAGAGGAAAGAAGAAGAAAATAAAGAAAACGAAGAAGAATGCGAAGAATGATATTATGAAGAATCAGAAGCAGGTGAAGAAAAGAAAAAGAAAAAAAAAAAGCATAAGAAACAAGATAACAGTCAAGAAGACGAAGCCGAAGAAGAAAAAAGACGAATGAAGAAGAAGAAGACGAAGAATGAAGAAGAAGAAGAAGAAAAAGAAGAAGAAGACGAAGAATGAAGAAGAAGAAGAAAAAGAAGAAGCAGAAGAAAAAGAAAAAGAAGAAGCAGAAGAAGCAGAAGAAGAAGAAGAAGAAGAATGAAGAAGTAGGAGAAGAAGAAAAAAAAAAGAATGAAAAAGAAGAAGAAATACTAAAACGTTCGAAATATCCACAGGAAGAAATCGGAGAGCAAAGACCCAGAGATTCACCTGCTCTCTTAAGGTCCGGCTTCCCGATCTCCTAATCTCTGGTAAAGACTCAAGTACCAGCGGAGACTCATTTTGCAAGGTGTGAATAAAAGGGGAGACGAGAAGTGGTGGCGAGAGAGATAGGAGAAGTGGGAGAGGGAGAGGGTGGGAGGGAGAGAGGGAGAAAGAGAGGGAGAGGAAGAGGGAGAGGAAGAGGGAGAGAGAGATAGGAGAAGTGGGAGAGGGAGAGGGTGGGAGGGAGAGAGGGAGAGGAAGAGGGAGAAGGAGAGGGAGAGGGAGAGATAAATAGGAGAAGTAGGAGAGGGAGAAGGAGGAGAGGAAGAGGGAGAGAGAGATAGGAGAAGTGGGAGAGGGAGAGGAAGAGGGTGGGAGGGAGAGAGGGAGAGGGAGAGGGAGAGGAAGAGGGAGAGGAAGAGGGTGGGAGGAAGAGGAGGAGAAGGAGAAGGAGAAGGAGAGGAAGAAGGAGAGGGAAAGGGAGAAAAAGAATAAGAAGAGAAAAGGAGGAGAAGAGATGATTGAAAGGGAGAGAGAGAATAAGAAGAAAAATGGAGGAGAAGAGATGAGATAAAGAAAGACAAACAGAAGTGGTTCAGAGGAAGAAAGAGACGAAAGTGAGAGAGAGAGAGACGGAATGAAAGAATACAAAACACAGTAAGAAAAAAAAGAACAACAACCACAAACAAAAATGCCATGCCCGACTTTGCATGAATTTAATCCGTTTATGAATGAAAGAAGTAAAAACAACCGGGTTCCTTTTTCTTAAGTTATCAATACAGCAAATCTATCAAGTCTATCAAATACCAAGGAGATTAAGCGACACGATAACATTCTTACGAAATAACATTTTCTTAGAGGGAGAGAGGGAGAGAGACAGAGAGGGAGAGAGAGGGAGAGAGGGAGAGAGGGAGAGAGGGAGAGAGGGAGAGAGGGAGAGAGGGATAGAGGGAGAGAGGGAGAGAGGGAGAGAAGGAGAGAGAGAGAGAGAGAGAGAGAGAGAGAGAGAGAGAGAGAGAGAGAGAGAGAGAGGAGAGAGGAGAGAGGAGAGAGAGAGAGAGGGAGAGAGGAGAGAGGGAGAGAGGAGAGAGAGGGAGAGAGGGAGAGAGGAGGAAGGAGAGAGGGAGAGAGGGAGAGAGGGAGATAGGGAGAGAGGGAGAGAGGGAGAGAGGGAGAGAAGGAGATAGGGAGAGAGGGAGAGAAGGAGAGAGGGAGAGAAGGAGAGAGGGAGAGAGGGAGGAAGGGAGAGAGGGAGAGAGGGAGAGAGGGAGAGAGGGAGAGAGAGAGAGAGAGAGAGAGAGAGAGAGAGAGAGAGAGAGAGAGAGAGAGAGAGAGAGAGAGAGGGAGGGAGAGAGAGAGAGAGAGAGAGAGAGAGAGAGAGAGAGAGAGAGAGAGAGAGAGAGAGAGAGAGAGAGAGAGAGAGGGAGAGAGAGAGGAAGATAGAGAGAGAGGGAGAGAGGGAGAGAGGGAGAGAGGGAGAGAGAGAGAGAGAGAGAGGAAGATAGAGAGAGAGGGAGAGAGGGAGAGGAGAGAGGGAGAGAGGGAGATACGGAGATAGGGAGAGAGGCAGAGAGGAAGATAGAGAGAGAGGGAGAGGGAGAGAGAGAGAGAGAGAGAAACAGAAACAGAGAGAAAGAGCAAGAGGAGATAGAAGAAGAAGGAGAAGAAGAAGAAAAAGGAGAAGAGGAAGAAGAAAGAAGAAGAAAAGGAAAATTCTTTTTTTTCTATTTAGTTTTGATTTGTTTATGTCTTTTGTTTTGACGTTTCTTTCTCTCTTAATACAACGATCTAATTATCTTTTTATTAGACGGTTTGGTGATAATTTAAGAAAACTTTTACGGAACATATTTTTATCTATCTATCTATCTATCTATCTATCTATCTATCTATCTATCTATCTATCTATCTATCTATATATATATATATATCTGTCTATGAATATATATCCGTCTATCAATCTATCCATCAGTTCATCTATTCATCTGCCTACTTCTCCATCTATCTATCTAACAATCTATTGATCTATCATCCCCACTCCCCACTCCCCTTTCTCCCTCCCACCTCCTTCCCCTCTACCCCCCTAGGTCCTACACCCACCCTACCCCCTACTCATCCCTGTGTCTCAGTCTTCTCTCCCCCCCCCCCCCCCCAACCTCAACTCACTCTCCCAACCCCTTCCCCTGCTCTAACCCTTTCCTCATCCCGTCCCCACTTTTTCCCCATTCCCCAACCCCCCTCCAACCACACCCCATCCCTTCCCCCTCCCCCACCCCAATTCCCTCCTTTCTCAACCCCCTTCCCTTCCCCTCCCTCTCTCCTACCCCACACACCCCTCCCCCACACCCTCTCCCCTACACATACTCTCCCCCACACCCCCGCCCCCACGCATCCTCTCCCCC